TCCAGTTTCCAAACCAATAATAGCTAAATGGTCATATAAATAGGAACACCACAGGTGTTCTGCTGAGCACAGACCAGCCTGAATAACAATTTATACTGTGTAAAGCATAGCTGGAAATATTGGTAATAGAAACTGCGGTACAAGAGGTTAACAACATGCCAAGCAGGTAAGACTTAAAGCTGTTAATAATGACCAAAAAAAGAGGATTCTTTTGTAAGAAGCCTTAACAAAATAAGCTCTGAAATTCATCAGCAGTGCTTTATAATGGGCAAGATTTCCAAAGGTCCAGAGGAGACACTTCAGTCTCACCAAGCTTCAACAGCAGGTGGACTCACTTCCTTGAGACGTTTTGAAGCACTGTGCAGATCTCTCCACATCTCAGTTTCAAAGAGGTGTGAGGGCAGGAGCGTGTCAGCATTCAGCTTTGGGTAATGCTATGTACAAACCGACGCTGGCAATACTCAGCAAAGAGTCTCCAGGTGTCAAACCACAGCTCAGCAATGCGTGAGGAGCCACATGCTGACCTGAGCAAGGCTGCAGCTCTTTGCACCCCCACGGGTTTACCCCCAAGCCCCTTCCTCAGTATTTTTATCATCCATATTTTGGTTGATCGTGGCAAGGGGCTGCAACCAGGTCACTTGGTGAGAGGATGCTACAGCATGCAGGTGTGGGGCTCTGATGTGGTTATGACTTGGGGACACATCTCCCCACACACCTCACTGGTGTCCTTGGGCTGCCAGCAGTGTGGGAGCTGCAAAGCCTTGCCCCCAGCCCGCTCCATGGGCAGGGCTGGGGGAGCACAGTGTCTAATTAAAGAAAGGCTGCCTGATCTAGGATGCCTCCCGGATCATCGCTGGCATTTCTGTGATTGACAAACAGGCAAAAATATATTTATTCAGGGATTATCTATATTGAAAACTGGATGCGGGATTTTGTCTTTGTAAACAGTGCAGTAATATCTGCTGTTTGAACAAAAGGAAGGGTATACTTTCCGTCCATTCAAAGCACAAAAAGCTCCCTTATTTAAGTGGAAAGGGGAGACATTTGATTTTATTGATCCTGCTTGCTGAAGATTCGGGGTTTTTTAAATACGATCTGTGACTAAGGGAGCAGTGGGTTGATTTTCACTTTATTGGAAGGGTTATTATGAAGTGTACAGCATATAAGTTATTAGAGAGACGTGTGCCCTTGAAAACAGCCCTTAAAATCTTGCACAATTAGGAAGATTCAGAATGATCCAGCATATTTCCTCATAGCAAGAAAGTCACTTTGATATATGAAGGACCCAAAATGTAACACTGAATAATAATTTTATTTTGAGAAGCCACTTTTGAAGAGAGCACTTTGTTACAGATGGGAACACAGCTACTTTCATAGGCCTAAATGAGGCTACAGAGAAATAGCCCCTTCAAAAATGAACACCCTTATTGATAGTTTCGTTGTTGTTCAGACAGATCTTTCCCTATCATCTACCTACAAATAATCCCATAGACATCCAGATATCAAAGAGTCGAGTCAGTACATTAGTCATGCGTGTTGGTCAAGGGATGTACAAAACACAGGATAATAGATCTTCCCCCAAATATTTGTAAGCTAAATCTATTTTTTATGCAAAATACTGAACTGGCTGCCCTCCAAGTTAGGTCTTTTTATCCACAGAACAGAAGCACAATGAGTACTGAAAATTTCCCCCATCATTAATGTGCTTTTACTGTGCTCTGAAGGACAACAGCGGCAGTGCAAGGGTCTAACTTTGACCAGCTCAGCACAGGACCCCTCTTTTCCTAGGATTTGTGCCGACTTAGTGGGACTCGTGTGTGCTTGAGGATGCTTTCCAGAAAGAAACAATTGGCCAAACACTTTACCAAACCTGGGTTAGACTTGAAGCAAAGCTCCATCTCTGCTTTTTTCATCCATCTTCTGTGACTGGAGGCTGCTAAAACAGTGTTGCGTTGCATGGGAAGCAGGCAATGTACAGGCGGCATTGCCATCATCTCATCTCATTTCCCCACCATCATCATGGTGGACACCAGCCTTGGCACTGCTCAAGAAGATCCAGCAGGCAATCCCCACCAAATACTGCCTTCTAGGTCTCTGCACCTTTTCTGATTTCTCTGTCCTTCCTACTGTAGGATGCTATCTGGTTCTGGGAGAGTCTCTTTCTACACCACTTTCTATCCATCAAGCAAGGCTTACTCTCTTGGCCTGTATTTTTTGTTATGTTTCTTCTCTCATTTTTTTGGTCCAGCCCCTCTGTCTCATTTGTCTTGCAACTACTTATACTTAGGAGTCAAAACCCACCATGGCTGATACAGAAGTTTCCTGGCCCCCTGCACTGGCCTGGGTCTTCCTTTGGGATGGGAAAACAGGGTTGTCTTGAGGAACAACTATTCCATCTAGAAGCTGTGGACTCTAGCTCTGCTTCTGAAAAATGCGGAGACTTCAGCAAGTCATGCTGCCTCTCTGCCTTGATTCCCCAGAGTGTATAAAAATGGGGCTTTACCTCACAGCAGCATTGTGAGAACTAATTAATGTTTATTAAATGCTTTTAATACATAGGAGATGACCTGATCAGGCTTGTATTATGATTTCCAACAACGTAATTCCACTGACATGTGAATCCCTCTTTACACTAGGATGAACATGTTCAGAGTTAGGCAGAGAAATGTCTCTAAAAAAAAGGAAGGTTCCTTTCAAAGAATTTAAATTAAATAATCATTATTACCTTGTAATTCATGATCTGAACACAATCCCCTATTTTGGTAAATAAAGCTCAGATGATTTCTTGTGATGTGCATATTGCTGAAAATTCAAATACTGTTGAACATATGTTGTTTTTCTGTTTAGCTGCTTTTTTTCTCTCCGTCAATCAAAGATACAAGTTTTTTCTAAGGAAATGTCAAGTGTTGAAAACAACACTGGTATCTGATACATTTCCATCTGGACAAAGATATCACTGTCTAATTTTTTTGCTCACCTTAGAAGCTGGTCGGAGGCTCGGTACTGTTAGCTGAACTCAACTCTTAAGCTTACATTATTAATTTTGCATCATGATAAGATATTTACTCAAAGAGGCAGCTAGTTCTTTCCTTTAAAAATGATGTTATTTGCAGGAATGACCACACTTTTTTTTTCCTTCAAATGAAGTTATGCAAATCTGATCGACTAAAGTAAATGTTTCATGAAACCAATGACTGTTTAAATTGTGGGACTAAATTGTTTGTATATAAATATTACCTTTTATATTCCATTTGAGTTTTATGTAGATGAACACATTACTTTAATGACCTGCATTTACAGAGGGAGATGGGGAGAGTCTGACTCTGAAATCCTCAGCAGCCAGATGGCTGCCTTTTCTTGCATGAGATTAAAAGATGTTTCTCATTCACAGCCCTGCTTTGGAGGCAAATTAATATAGCCGGCTAAATTGCTTGTGTTTTTGGAATAAAATTTAAAGAGAACTTTTTAAAGCAATTGGTGTCACAGGTTCCTAGAGCAGATTGCTCTCCAGGTACAGCATGCTGGTTTTAAACATTCAGTAATTAATGGAAAGTATACCGTGTTAATTGACTGCTTCAGGAAAGGGAAATATAATGACTCCTTATTAATCATGAAAAGAGACATACAGCATGGAGGCACTGCAATAATTGCACTAACGGTTGAGAAATGTTAATTAATGAAAAGAACAATGATGTAAGAAATTAGCTACATAATGCTTGCCGCGGTTGGAGATTGTGCTTTAAACACGTTATTTAGCATGGCAGCCACTGGATGTTGCCTTAAATAGCAGGCACCTCTTACCCTTTTCTTCAGTCAGCTACGAAGTTCCAAATGCTGCTGGTGTTTTGGTTTTTAATGAGCCAAAATACGCTCTCCAAAACTACATTTTCTGAAGCATTTTCAGTTTGAACTCTTGAACTCAGAACTATTCAAAGAGATTGACAGCGTTGCACTTACTTACATAAAAATATTATCCAAGTGTAAGAGAGCATGTTAGTGCTTGTGCAGTGGGGAACACCTTCCTAGGTGGACTGAGCTAAATAGGTTTGCCAAGAAGATAACAGCATCATGACTTCTTTCCTCTTTATAATTTTTCCACTTTTTAACCAATTACCTGTCCCCTGAAGAATTTAGACCAAGCATCCTGTCATATTTGTGCCTAGCTAGACGTAAATATTCATAGGCTATTAAAATGCAGAACAGTTCTGGCAACTAATCCAACATCAGTAATATGGAGCTCACAGTCATTAACAGATTGAAGGCCAGTGAAGGTTTCCACCATCAATTTGTTGCACCTTTAAGACAGCAACAGAGTGAGACATAGTCATCACTCTGAACACATCAGAGCAGGTCAAACTGTTGGTTACAAATAAGTTGCCTAAAAGTGTAACCATTTTTTTATTTTTCAGGATCAGGATTTGGTTCTTATGGATGTCTTCAGGTCTGCATGCTCATTTCTGCAAGGAAATGTTAGCCCAGGAAGCTTTGGAAAATTATTCACAATTCTGTGGGAATTTTGGCCACCTATGTCATTTATTATCTTGGCTGTGTGACTAAGGGATGGTACTAATAGATGATAAATGGTAAATACACGTAGAATAAAGAAAGTTTTCATTTTAGATCTACCATTGCAAGTGTAAAATTATAGATGCATAAAAATAATTCTGTTGAAGACATGCTAAATGAACATTCATTGAACACAAAATGCTTTTATAAAGATTAGCTCTCAACAAGAGGCCTCTTTGCAATGACACAAGACAGGACACGTGTCCCTTAATTCAGTGGTGTCACAGTAATCTAAAAGCATTATAGAGATGGAATCAGTCCATAGATGTATAATAAACCAACATTGCAATGCTTCATGCGCCATAAGACAGGGACAGGAATGGTTTCATTCCTCATCCAGTCCATATGCTTGCCATCGCTGATTTTCCCAGGGCAGCTGTCTTGTGGCCATTCTTCCACCCATGTGTTTTATTGCTCCTGAATTTCTTTTCCAGATGGAATATCCTTGGGCTCCAAGGTGCTCTCCTCAGTTCCTTCATCGAACCCATGTACTTACACAGCATCATTGTGGGGAGCCTCTACCACACTGGTCACCTTTCCCGGGTAATGAGCCATAGAATAGAAGACATTGGTCAGCTGCCAGCTTCATACCGGCACAATCAGCTACTTCTCAGTGGTAAGCAAACACCTGCCTGCAAGACAAATGATCCCCTCTCCCATCACTAATTGTGCTGGTCACCAACAGGAATGTTTACTTGTTTGTAAGTGAACCATTAGCTCATGCTTCCTTTTTTCCTGCACAGTATGAATTTGCAAAATGAAGAATCTGATGCATTTAAATCCAGCTCCTTTTTAATATGCAGTGACCACTAAAAGCGTCAGTAGTGGATAGAAGCAGACTAGCAAAACAAACACTGTACAAAGAATGCTCAAAGTGGAAAAAAGTGTATGACTAAGTAAAAGATTTATAAAAACCAGGGACAACGTTTTCTGTAAATATCAGGTTTAACTCGCTCCCATCCCACTCTTTCTCACCCAGTGTACACACAAATGTCAGTCAGGAGAACCAGCCCTTGCATTTCTGGCACCGTGCATGCAGCCCAGCCACTAGTGCCCCTGCTCCTTTACCACTTGCTAGCCATTGTGTTTGAAGCAAACAGCCATAAGAAAAGAGCTGTTCATTCATGCAGGAGACCGTGGTAGGGAAGGTCAGAGACCTCAGTGAGGCATTGCTGTCATCAGACGAGGCTGCTGCCTGTTGTGTGACCATCTCTGTGGTTTCGAGCTATCTTTCAGACTACATTTGCTGCCATCGCTTCTCCTTCCTAGTACCTCTTCCTACTCCATGTCTCTGCTCCTTCTCCATCCCCCTGACTCCCACTCTCTTAATCCCCAGCCAGGCAGCAGCTGTCCAGCCTCATGCCAGCAAAATCCCACAAAGTCTTGAATGCCTTCAGATCCTCATGAGGCATGTGAGTGCTAAGGGCCACCAGTTCTCCACAGGCTTAGACTCTTACTTTTAGACTGAAAATTGTTCCTCAGGAGGATTCCCTGACACACCAATACAATGTCAAGGTTACAGAGTTGGAAGGTCAGGATCAGGGAAGGTTGGAAGGTCGTATGATCAGGGCCCGGTCCAGAAGCTCTGCTCTGGCTGCCCCGGCGGTGGCCAGCGTGGGCACCCAGACAGAGCCGACGAGAGAGGAGGTTGCAATGCAGAGCTCAGGGTGTAGAGAGTGCCTGCACTGGTCTGGTGAGGGGAGGGTGCACAATGGACAGGGCTTCACTCGGTGCTCCCTGGTGGAGGTCCTCCTGCAGCAGGGGCTGAGCTGCGGGATGCTGTTAATAGGTTGCGAGATGTCAGGGAAGCTAAGAGGAAGCAGGAATGCTTGCTCCTGGCCCAAACTGTGCAGGGGCCTCGAGCTTCACCTCTACCTCATGAAGGAAAGAAGGAGGCCGTTAACCTGGGAAGCTGGGAATTAGTGACAAAAAAAACAACAAAAACAAGAAGGAAAAGGACAACCAAAAGCAAGGGGCTTCCCCCTAAACCCCTGTCCCCACGCACAACCACTTTGCTGTCCTGCAGGGGGCTAATGAGGAAACGCTCACACCAGAAACAGCCGGCTGGTGCACTGCTAAAGAAGATCTCTACTGGTGCCGCTAGGAAAAAGCGGTGGGTCGTAGTAGTAGGGGACTCTACACTGAAAGGGACAGAAGCACTCGTCTGTTGGTCTGACCCATTCTCAAGGGAGGTGTGTTGCCTACTGGGGACAGGGATCAGGGATGTGGCAGAGAGGCTGCCTGCTCTAGTAAGTCCCACGGACTATTACCCACTCCTGGTGATACATGTGGGTGCTAGGGACATAGATAGTAGTAGCCTGGGGAACATAAAGAAGGACTACAGAGCCGTGGGGGAGGTGGTTAGGGGCTCTGGAGCTCAGGTGGTCTTTTCATCAATTCTCCAGGACACAGGGGAGGACCCTAAAAAGGCTAGGAGGATTGGCCAGGTTAATAACTGGTTAAAAGGGTGGTGTCATAGTCAGGGGTTTGGGTGTCTTGAACATGGGACCCAAGTTTGTAGGCCAGGTCTAGTGGGGGCTGGTGGAGCTGGTCTAAGGAAGGGAAAGAGCAGTTTTGGTAGGAGGCTTGCCAGACTGGTCAAGGATGCTTTAAACTAGATGTATTGGGGGAGGGGGGCATCATTCCATCCCAACACACCCAGTCAGCTGCCAGAACCTATAATAAATGCTTGGAGCACTGTAGAAATATCCCAGCTGCTCCAGCCAATGAGCCGGATTCATTTGGAGCTCGGCTCAGATGCCTCTATACAAATGCCCGTAGCATGGGGAACAAACAAGAGGAATTAGAGATGTGTGCACATCTACAGGGGTATGATATAATAGGCATCACAGAAACATGGTGGGATGGCTCCTATGACTGGAGTGTTGGAATGGAAGGTTACAGGCTCTTTAGAAAAGACAGGCCCGGCAGGTGGGGAGGGGGAGTTGCCCTTTATGTTAGGGATAGGCTGGAGACTATGGAACTCGGTCTGGGGACAGGTGAGCAGTCCACAGAGAGTTTGTGGGTCAGGGTTAAAGGGAATATAGCTATGGGAGACATTACTGTGGGTATCTGTTACAGACCGCCTGATCAAGGAGAACCTGCGGATGAAGCACTCCATAGACAGATAGGAAAAGCCTCACGCTCACAGGCCCTTGTTCTCATGGGTGACTTCAACCACTCTGACATCTGTTGGAATGAGGGTACGGCCCGGCACAAGCAATCCAGGGGGTTCCTCAACTGTGTAGAAGACAACTTCCTTCTGCAAGTAATAGAGGAGCCAACAAGGAGAGGTGCCATGCTTGACCTCATGCTCACCAACAGGGAAAGGCTCATTGGAAATGTGACTCTCCAGGGCAGCCTTGGATGCAGCGATCACGAGATGCTCAAATTTGAGATCCTCAGGACAGTGAGAAGAGCATGCAGCAAGCTCACTGCCCTGGACTTCAAAAGAGCAGACTTTAGCCTCTTCAGGAACCTGCTTAGTAAGGTTCCATGGGATATAGCCCTAGAGGGCAGGGGGGCCCAAGACTGTCGGTTGATATTCAAGGATCACCTGCTACAAGCTCAGGAGTGTTGCATCCCAACTAGAAGGAAGTACAGCAGGAGGGCCAGGAGACCTCCTTGTACAGGTGGATAAGGAGCACCTGAGGAAACTTCAAATGAAAAAAGAGGCTTATAATAAGTGGAAGCAAGGACAGGTGGCATGGGAAGAGTACAGGGATGTTGTCTGGGAAGCTAGGGACCAGGCTAGGAAAGCTAAGGCCCAGTTAGAATTAAACTTAGCTAGAGGTATTAAAGATAACAGGAGGGGATTCTACAAGTACATAGGAAATAAAAAACAGACTAGGGAGAATGTAGGCCCCCTCAGGAAGCTCTCAGGAGAACTGGCTACATGGGATTTGGAGAAGGCTGAGGTTCTGAATGACTTCTTTGCCTCGGTCTTCACTGGCAAAGGCTGTGACCACACCACCCAAGTCTTGGAAGGCAGATGCAGGGACTGTGGGAATGAAGACCTTGTGCCCACTGTAGGAGAGGATCTGGTTCGAGGCCATCTTAAAAATCTGAATGTGCACAAGTCCATGGGTCCTGATGAGATCCGTCTGTGGGTCCTGAAGGAGCCGGCGAATGAAGTTGCGAAGCCGCTGGCCATCATATTTGAGAAATCATGGCAGTCAGGTGAAGTTCCCGATGACTGGAAAAAGGGAAATATAACCCCCATTTTCAAGAAGGGGAAAATGGATGACCTGGGGAATTACAGACCAGTCAGTCTCACCTCTGTGCCTGGCAAAATCTTGGAGCAGATTCTCCTGGATGGCATGCTAAGGCAGATGAAAAACAGCAAGGTGCTTGGTGACAGCCAGCAGGCTTCACTAAGGGGAAATCCTGGTGGCCTTCTATGATGGGGCTACAGAACTGATGGACAGGGGTAGAGCAGTTGATGTCATTTACCTGGACTTGTGCAAACTGTTCGGCACTGTTCCACACGACATCCTTGTCTCTAAATTGGAGAGACATCAGTTTGATGGATGGACCACTTGGTGGATAAAGAGCTGGCTGGATGGCTGCACACAAAGAGTTGTGGTCAATGGCTCAGTGTCCGGCTGGAGACCAGTAACAAGTGGTGTCCCTCAGGGATCAGTGTTGGGACCGGTCTTGTTTAACATCTTTGTCTCTGACATGGACAGCAGGGTTGAGTGCGCCCTCAGCAAGTTTGCCGATGACACCAAGCTGTGAGGTTCGGTTGATACGCTGGAGGGAAGGAATGCCATCCAGAGGGACCTCGACACGCTTGTGAGGTGGGCTGATGCCAACCTCATGAGGTTTAACCATGACAAGTGCAAGGTCCTACACCTGGGTCGAAGCAATCCCAGGCACAGCTACAGGTTGGGCAGAGAAGAGATTCAGAGCAGCCCTGCGAAGAAGGACTTGGGGGTGTTGGTCGATGAGAAAATGAACATGAGCAGGCAGTGTGCGCTTGCAGCCCAGAAAGCCAACCATGTCCTGGGCTGCATCAAAAGGAGCGTGACCAGCAGGTCGAAGGAGGTGATCTACTGCCCCTCTACTCTGCTCTTGTGAGACCTCACCTGGAGTATTGTGTGCAGTTCTGGTGTCCTCAACATAAAAAGGACATGGAACTGCTGGAACAAGTCCAGAGAAGGGCCACGAGGATGATCAGGGGACTGGAGCACCTCCCATATGAAGATAGGCTGAGGAAGTTGGGGCTGTTCAGCCTGGAGAAGAGAAGGCTGCGTGGAGACCTCATAGCAGCCTTCCAGTATCTGAAGGGGGCCTATAGGGATGCTGGGGAGGGACTCTTCATTAGGGACTGTAGTGATAGGACAAGGGGTAATGGGTTAAAACTTAAACAGGGGAAGTTTAGATTGGATATAAGAAGGAAATTCTTTCCTGTTAGAGTGGTGAGGCACTGGAATGGCTTGCCCAGGGAGGTTGTGAATGCTCCATCCCTGGCAGTGTTCAAGACCAGGTTGGACGAGGCCTTGGGTGACATGGTTTAGTGTGAGGTGTCCCTGCCCATGCAGGGTGGTTGGAACTGTATGATCCTAAGGTCCTTTCCAACCCTAACTATTCTATGATTCTATGTTTTAGTGGGAGTACACCACTGACTTTCAAACTCCTCTAGGTTCCTCAGTCAGGAGAGCGCTGATTTACCCCTTATTTATTTTATGGTCTCGTTTTTTTTTGGTTTGGTTTTGTTTTAACATGTCCTTGTGACAAAATCAGTTTGGCTGAGGCAGAAGTGATACTTTAGCCACTGGGGAAATTCTCAGGTTCTGTGTGGTTAGTACATCTGGCAAGTGTGATGTGCATGTATGTGTTATGAGGTGAGTAGGTCAGAAGGCTCATCCTTATTTGAAGAGCTTATCTCCACTTTTTAACTCTTCAGTGCAGCTAGCCAAAGACTGCAATGCAAGTATCCAGGAATCTGTGCTCCACATGCCTCTTCCATCCTATGTCCTCTCCTGTCCCTCCTGCCTTGGCCCAGACAGGGCAAGACTCAGCCCCCCCCGCCTTTCCACACCAGTTATAGGAGGGAGAAAAGGACTTGCAGCTGGTTAAGAAAAATCTCCTCATTTCCCAAACCTGGCTGTTCTTTTAGAACAGCACACCCCAGCCTGGTAGAAGCCCTCGCATCTCCTACTGGAGAAGGTGATCTCATCCTGTGCCAGCCATAACGCATTATAAGTTCATCCATACATTAAGGTCAAAAATCACACCCGCTTTCACTCTGTGGGATGTACAGGGAAATACACCTGAACTGTTGAAAGGCTGAAAACACAATAAGGGATTTATTAAGAGATTTAACCACAGAACAGCTCTTGCTTTGCTGGGGTAGCCTTGCAGCATAAAAGTAATAGCTTATATTGGCCCAAGTGTTTATTTATGTCCAAGAGTCAATGCCAGAGATTTCAAGAGAGATAGGAATGCATCAGAGGGATCCTTGTGTCACTTTAAATATCTGATTGTTTCATGGCTGTCTTCCTTCCTCCCTCCCAGAGACTTCTGTGTTTATAAAAGCTTTTGCTTTGCTTTCAGTGGTATTTGTGGGTTTTTCTCAGCCCAGGATAAGCAGTGGGAGGAATCTGCCTCTCTCTGTCTACATTGTTTTTGTCTCTAAAGCCATTATTTGTAATCTTCTCTCCCCCACATATCCCAGGGAGCCAATGCTGCTTAAAGCTTACATAGCTGAGCCTTGTGCTATACTTCCCTTACCTGGAAAACTGTGCTGACAGCATATCCAGTGACAGAGGAGATGGGCACCTACCAAAAGCCATACCAAATGTGTTAGAGACCAAACCCCAGCAATCTCAGCCAGACAACTCCATCTCCCACACTTGCCTCAGTGATCAGACCAGCCAGGCATTTCAAATTGCAGAGTCCTTCAAATATAAGGATGCCAATTATTTGTCACTTGATCGTAGCAGTACAAGCTTTTCAAAGGAGAGGAGAGTCATGGTGTGTGATGAGATCCTGAGATAACTCGTTGGCCCCTCAGAAAAATAACCAGTAAGGTTTTCTGCTCACACCAGTCCCGGCCAGGTGGAAATCCACTCATTCACTGGGATTAATCTTGGGTGTATTTTTTAGAAGAAAGGAAATCCCTATGTCATTTTTATTTCATGTTCTCTGAAGACTGAGGCCATTCTAAATGGTATCTTGAAGAGGCACGAGGTTTTGCGAGGAGAATGAAAACAGATTTCAGTTCATATCCCAAAATACTCAAGTTCATATTATTTGTACAAAGATTTTTCCTTCCAGTTTCTACAGTCTCCTATTGTACTCGTTGTTGTGTTGTTTTTAATGAGGATGATTTACATAAAGGAGAGAAAATTATCTAGATTATTTGGTTGTTCTTTTTCAAATAGAATCAGAACAATTATTTGTCAAAAGAAAAACATGAAAAAAAGTGTTGAAGAAAGACCAAAACCAACAATCAGAGGAGATACCTAGGCTCTATATTTGCATCTGTCATGAGGCTCATGTTTTCTCTTTTAAAGCCTCTTCTCTTGCATTTGGAAAATGATGTGACGATATCATTATGTGTTACATAAACACATGTACTTATATGTGATAGTTGGGAAGAGAAAACACAAGAGCCAAACCAGCATGGAAGGTTTTCCAGGCACTGCAGCAAACATCCAGTTCTCACAGTGGTCCACTGAGAGCAGAGAGAGGTCCCAGGCTGGGCAGGGTGTACAGCCTCCACTTGGTGGGCACCCACAGCCTGCTCTGTCCTCCGTGCAGCCTTTCCTTAATTTCCTCTGGTCAGTGTTTTCACATTTGTATTTATTTAGTGGCCTGTGGCAACCTTGCTTGTCAGGGTGTTTGCTGTCGTGGTTTTTGGCACTCAAGTCCTCTAACCTTTTGGGTGCTATCTCGACAGAGTGGTGCATAGTGTCAAACAGCTGATTTTGATCCGTTTGCATCTTGTTATGTATAGAGGCATTTGACTAGCGTCAGAGCGCTATCTGATTTTCAAGCTCTTGGTTTATATCCTGTTGCCTAGGTGAACCGGAGTTTTAGATGCAGACTGATCTGTTTTCTCAGGGGGAAAAGAAATTGAGAGAGGTATTAATACGATATGAATGTGTTTACAAATCCTGGCTGACGTTATGACTTAGCTGTAATTCTCATCTATACACAGTAGTGAGTTCAGTCCCAGTGACTGAGATGATTTCAGCAATTCCAGCTTTGCCACCGATACAAAATGGTAATGCTATGTATTTTTTTCCCTTCAATGGCCACCTCTCTCTCTGTGCATGCTCATCTGGCTCTTGCAGCTCCCTCCCAGCACACAGGGAACAGGAGTGGATAGGGAGCATGTCCTTCACTGATAACTGCTTCCCATGATGATGAGAGGCCCCACACAGGAGGTGCCTGCAGAGGCAGCGTCTCTGCCTTAACTGACTGTGCAGCTCTCTGCTTCTCCCATGGTCTCCCTCAGGGGCTTACCAAGCTTGGCATGTTTAACATGGTGATGAATGCTGCATTCCCACCAACTCCCATCTCCTTCCCACTCTGCGGGAGATTAGCAGATGCTCATAATTTGCACTTGTTCCAAAACTAAGATCCCTGAGCAAGACGGGGCACTTTGGAAAGGAGGGGCTTTGATCTCTCTCCTTTAATCTCCTCCTCTCTGAACAGCCCATATCAGTACTTCCCGCTCTCTGCAAAACTCTTTGAAACCCTTCAGCAAAAAACACAAAGGACCTGTCTCTGTTACCCTCCACCCAGGAGCAGCGAAAGCAGGTCCCATCAAGCTGTGCAAACCCTGAGCTGTTGCTGGAGCGGCCACAAGCAGGGGCTCCAGTGGGAGCTGCCATTTGGAAGCAGAGATCCAGCCGTGGCCTGTGCTTCGGTGGCTGTGCCAGGCAGCTCCTCCCACCAGCACAGTCCCACCTGCCTGTTCACAGCGGCTTTTGTTGTCCAGGTTTGCAGGCTAGCGGCCCATGGAGCAAATCAGCAGAGAGGGGCTCAACAGCTGAATGCAGACACTCCATCCAGTGCCCCCCTTTCCGACGTATTCAGACTGCTTCATGTCTCTTTGTCTTTCCAGCCTTGGAGGCTCTCAGTGTTGGTTCTTTGCTCACAAAAGCACTAATGAGCAAGGCAGAGCTCACTTGGTTGCATTTACCAACCACTTTCTTTATTCCCCTTATTTCCTTGCAAGGACTAATCCTTCCCTGGTTCCAGGTATAGGGAATAAGAAAGCAACAGAGAGTCACGGAAAGGTTGGAACTACACTAAATGGTTAAGAATTTTCCTCGTTAAAAATAACTCTCTCTCATACACACACCCACACCTGACCTTGCAGCCCTGATCTGCATTTAGAGCCTAGGGAGGTCTCACCCTTGTAGACTGTGGATTCCAGTATGTGATTCAGATGTCTAAAATTTGCTATGCGAATGACACAAAGGTCATACAGTCACCCCAGATGACTGAAAACATCATCATTGTAGCTGTCTAAAATTAAATGAGATGCATCCCACTTAAAGATGTCCAAAATGTTGCCATTAGGACAGTAACTATCTCTTGAAGAGACTGTTGCACCCATATAGGGTAGGAATCTTGCAGGTAGACACAAGGTGGGGAACAAGAGTTTTCTGTGTAGGTCTGCAATGTCTACAAGGTCATTATTAACTTGGATCTAATAATCTCTCTCTGTGATGATGAAATGTATGTTTTGTATTTCCTTATCCCCTGTGGATACTCCCTGTGATCTAGACTTCCTGTCACAGCCAGGCCCCAGCAGTTAATAGCAGATAAATATGCTGGACCGTGGAAAGCTCACCTGGAGGAATTCATGGCAAAAGCACTTTGCTGATTCGCTCCTTGTAAAAACCAGTTATGCCATTAAAGCCTTTCTGAAAGATTTCACTCAGCAACCGTCACACTGCTGTCAATAGCACACACTATATCTAATGGCTTTCCTTAGGCTAAAGAAAGGTTGCATGTAAGGTGGAAAAAGATCTATAGGAATTGCTAAATTATGTCTCTCTAAGGTACTCAGCCTGGTAACATTTAACCGGAGGTGATAATAGCGCATACAGGGCACAATGCTACTGTGTTCATTCAGCAATATCCCATGTTCCACAGCAACTCACCATGTTAGCAGCCTCTGAAGGTTTTAATGTTTAACTGGATATTACTGGTGTCCTTCTCTCCTGCCAGGGATTAGCCATGCTGATGCTCGGCAGCCCGGAAAATCTCCCGGCTTCAGTGTGAACTGGATTGTGGGGAGCACCGACCTGGAGGTTATCAACGCTACAACAGGGAAGAGGACCTGTGGGACTCCCTCACGACTCTGCAAGCACATGTTCTTCGCTCGGTGGGCAAAGCTTCATGGAAAGGTAGGTCTGATGCACTGCCAGAACACTGCTGCCAGCCCCACCTGGGCTAGTCTTTAGCCTGGTGTCAACCCTGTTTTAGCAATCTCATGATGAAGCTGCAGCCTCCACAGGTGTCCTGTGTTCCTCCTGATAATGCCTAGGAGAGGATTAGGAACTGAGAGCCGGTGGGGTCTGCTATGGAGATGAGTCCAGAGAAAGCTGAGCTGGTTTTGGAGGGAAGATGGGTGTTCTGGCTGTCTTTGGCAATGGAGCCATGCTCAGATGAGCAGCCAAAAGCCACGAGACTGTAAAGTGTTCATACAAGCACAACTGGGTAATCTTTTAAGCATCTTACCCCAAGTATCCCTTTGACTCTAAGGGGAGTATTCAACTCACTAAGTCTTAGAAGCCTGAGGGAAATATTTCTCATTGCCTTGGGGGCATCTACTGCACTTTATTGTTCCACAGGGATTTACACTCCCAACCTGAACTGATCCCACTCTCACCCAAGTTAGCTAAAGCAAGTGCTATGGATTGCCCATTCCCCTCCTCTTCACCACCCTCCCGGATCTGCTAATGTACCCATACAACAATACAGCTCTTAAGGTGAGTGGCCAGGTGCTGGAGGCTCTCTAATTTCACTATACTCAGCAGCAGTACAATTTAATGGCATTAAAACTACAGGCTGTATTTAATTGTAATGGGCACCACACCTTGACAGCCCTGCTTTCTCTAGGGAAGATAACCATGAACTCCCCTTATTTGAAATGGCACTGAAGTCAACCTGCCTTCACACTTAAGTTACTTCCCACAGACAGGAAACTGTGTCAGGACAGAGGGGTGGCCAAAACCATGGTGGAACCTAGGGATGCAGGTCGTATGGGAAAAAGCTTGATGTGAAATAAGGAAATTTTCCTCTCATTATTCCTGGTTCTGGAGTCTCCATTTCTCCTCTTACCTGACCCTTCAAGGAAGTGCTGAGGGAGAGAAGGACACAGATACCAAAGTGTTGAGCACCGTGTCCAGGAGGAGCAGAAAGGAACATGCAAAGTGTCTCATCAGCCCACTTATTTTCACCAATAGAATATTGAATTGCCATGAGGAGGCTTGTAAAGACTTGTCCTGCAGTCCATGCAGAATGGGAGAAAACAAGGACAAGAAGAAAATATTTTATTAACAAGTGCCAAATCCTTTTCTCTATTCAGAAAGGAGTAGAAAAGAACAAGGCAGAGTAGTGGCAGGGAAGTCTGGAGTCACTTCCACCAGTGAAGTCATTTGGGAAAGCAGTCAGGCAGGATGGTAAGGTAGGAGAACAAGTTGTTCTGCTCTGCAGAGGAGCCCAGGGATGGAGGCTGGTGAGACTCATTCTATCCCAGCCAGTGTCATGACCTGTCCTAGCAGGGACCCTCCTCCTTGGTGGGGAGCAGAAGGGACCAACCTGGGCTTCATGCCCAGGGCTCAGCCACAGTTTGATGGCACAGGTCCCAGACTATTTATTGCACAGCAGGTGGCATGGGAAGGAGGGCGAGAATCAGTTAAGGGATTGATCCTCACAGGAACAAAATCTGAGGCAAGCTGGGCCCCAGGGCAGGTTATGGAGAGAACTATGGCCGGGAGAGCTGGACTGGACCTGGCTCCCACCAGGGGTGGGTTTGGGCTGAGCAGGAGAGAGTAACTCATGGCTGAGCAGGGCACTTTGCTTTTGACAATCCAAAGCATTTGGTAATGTCATCAGTGTCCACTTCTGGGGACAAAGGGGCAGCTGGAGGGAGACCACTACTGGTGAGGCTAGCTTGTGGCCCCCTGATTCCTGGGCTGGCAGCATCACCCTCCCTCAATGGCTAAGCCAATGCACCCCCAAGCCAGAGCAGCCCCTAGGTGCACTAGCACCACATGGACTGGAGCAGTTCATTTCAGGCTGTACATCTGCCTGCTCCTTTAATTTGTCATCTCTCCTCTTTAGAGAGAAGGCAAAGAGTGTTGAGAAGGCAAAGAGAGTTGTTTGCTCACCAGGCTGTGGTCTGAGGGTGCGTTCTCATGCAAGGGTGCTACTTCCTTGGTGTGTAAGCATTGGACTTAGAGCTTGCTCTAAGGGCATTTTCCAAGACCTCAGTTTCTTTCATATAATGTCAAAGCCTTCCTGGTGGTTTGGCACTGAGACTTGGACAGGTCAGAGGAAGTCCTTTAGTCCTTATACAAAGCAAAGGGTGCACACGCTCACATGTCTGCTCCAGGTGGTGAGGGGCAGTGGACATGTGGTTCTGTCTCCTATGGCAGCTCCGAATGATCAGCTCCGGTGTCCTGCCAGAGCACTCACTTTCCCACACCAGCATGAATCCTGATGCTTGATTTCTGCTCTGTCCTGGGCAGCTTCCACAACATTTCCAACAATAACAGATTAATAAGAGGAAAGGGGAGAGTGTGGGAGGGGAACCTCCTTGTTGTGTCTGTTGGTATTACTTGAAAGCACTGAGCTGCTCTCCTTCCCAGGCTAAACTGAGCACATTCCTTAAGGCTCCCCAGAAAGGATTTTTCCCTTTTTTTGTCCCTAAAACTCATCTTACCTGGGAAGCAGGATTTTGCATTTGTAAAACACACCAAGATTTGCCACGTCCTATGCCTACTCCAAAGCAAAGCTGTTTACCCTGTTCTCTCCACAATGGCTCAAAACCATGTCACAGGCATTTATTGCTTCCCCGTATTTTTGTTGTTAAACCAAAAGCAAACACACAAAGCACAGTGATAGTTTGTTTGTTGCTTATGAAATGTAGACAGAAAGATTATGCAGCTACTGAAGCCTCCTGTTTCCTTTGGCTTGTTGGTTGCTTTTTTTATTATTATATTATTTTTCCCCCTTCCCTGATTTGTGTTCTGCAGCTGAGCACACGAGTACCGAGCCATGGAGACATGCCATCAGTGTACAGCGAGGCAAAGCTGGTGGCTCAGACATACCAGTCTGTCAAGCAGCAGCTGTTTAAAGCGTTTCAGAAAGCTGGTCTGGGCACCTGGGTGAAGAAACCCCCAGAGCAAGATCAGTTCCTACTAACTGTATAAATCACTTGACACGTCTGCTACATGACTGGATCAAATCAGCTGGAGAGAAGGCTAGGCAGGACGCGTGAGTCGAGAGAATTGAAGAAGTTTGAGATTTAATAGCAACCTCCACAGGAATATTTGCTTTTAATTCTGCATTGGAAATACATGAATAGAAATGTGTCTGATGCACTGAACTCAACTTTAGAAAACTGCTTTTTCATTATCCCTTCCCAAGAATGTACCTGCCCAAATTATAGTGCTACCCTCACAGAGATTCCGCTTTTCATTGTTAATTGCTGTTGGCTATTCCTGATTTGAGGTGCTAGCAAACCACCTGCCTGATCCAAAATAGAGTTTGTTTTCCCTCACACAATCAGTGCAAGAGTCATCACTGAATAATGGAAAATAGTGAGCAAAGCTGGAAGTACCCCAGGCACACAGCATGACAGCAGGTCTCAGAGCATCCATAATCATCCACAAAAAAGGTGCCTAACTTCTATGCAAAAGTCATCCTGTTAGCTGCCCAAATCTGTAAGACAGAATTTGGCAATTTTTAAACTATGTTTTCCACCTCTGACTCTGAGCACAAAGCCAGGTGTAAGGATTCCCTTAGTTTTTACACTTTTTCCCTCTGATGCCTTGGACAGACCACTTCCTACCAAATCTCCAAATCTGGCCACAAGTTTTGCACACCACAAGTTTTAGTTACCCAGGCCCAGTTCATCACACCTGCCCTTTAGATACCAGCTGGGATGCAGATGATTGTCAAGAGGGCGATTCAACCCTGTTCTGCCTGCAGAGGTGCACAGCTCTGTAGGGGCTGAGAGTGGAGGCCAGCATGATGATGTTCCTCACTCTGCAGTTTCAGGTAGCTGCCTAAAATCAGGCAGGCTGGAGCTGCCTCAGAGCATTTCCAAGCTTCTGAGATGATCACAGCTCTAAATTAAGTGGGTATGAGCTTGGAGTGCTCCATACACCTGAAAAACCACTGGGTTGGGTAGCTGCAACTCAGACATCCCAAATGGGAGAGCACATTTGACACCTGGCTCTTTCATGCCTCAGTTTCCCCACCTTTCAAATGGGAATAGTGTTCCTTACCTTCTTCACTTCTAAGGAACTTGTCAGGATCAAAGTGCTCTGGTAATATGTAGCAGTGTAAGCCAGATTCTGTCACTCTTTTCAGTGCGTTTTACCTCCCCACACAGTCCAATTGATGTAAGTACAGCAGATGCAACTACTGGCTTGGGTAAGGATTTACTCAGTGTAAGAACTTTCAAGTTCTAGCTCTGTGTAAATACCAAGTATTATTATTCACGCAGCCTGAAAAAGCAGGTAGGGTTTTCTGTTAAGAGACGAGTAGCACCCAACAGTTAAATATTTTCTTCATAACTATGGCCGGATCTGATATAATCTCACCTTTGAACCACCACAAATTTCATCAGAATGCAGAAAATAGATACAGTCATGGGAGAGCTGAGCTTTGGTAGTCCCACCGCAGAGCCAACGCCCTGTACATTTCTTTCCATTTTTGGTTTTTCAAATGACAGGATTTGCGGGTATATAACTGCTGTTTTCTTTTTATTCCTGTGATTCTCTATAAATCTGTATATAACATGCTGCTACTGATTGGTGATAATTGTCCTGGTATTTTCTCAGAACTGTCAAGCTGAGTTACTTTTCAAACAACACAAGGCTCATATTTTTCCATGTAATTTCCTTTACACGGGAAACTGTTCCTATCAATAAAGATAGATGCTCTTTGTATAGGGTTTATCACGTTTGGAGAGCCATATACAGTAAATATGTTGTTTATTGATGCCCACAATAGAATAGCTACAGTATTTTGATGAGATGTTATTTTTAGATTATAAACTACAAGATGTATCTATAGTGTCTTGTATAAAGACAATTGTGATAAACTAGAATTTTTAAATTAGATAAAACAAAGCTCTCCCCTTCCAGAACCCTTTTCAGTGAAATAATACATTCCATATTAACTACCAAAAATATAAAAATAATCCTTAGAGTAGAAATAGTTAAAAAAAAATACCAAAAACCTGAGAAGTTTCAATAGTGGAACCATTTTATGGTAACCACTTTGTCAATACTTCAAACACTTTGTCAGCTTTTCTGATTATCGTTCAGAATATTTCTGGCACCTTCTGGAGCTTCCCGGTACCTCCACATGGTTCCAGCCTCCAACCAAGCTGTCACTGGTACAGTGTGACCTGGGCAGCAGAGGTGTCCAGAGGGGCAGTGAGCAGGTGGGGGGCTGTGGTCCATGACTGGAGGTGTGGGAGAAGCTCTGTGTGACAATGACAGCGGTGGTTCGAGGGGCTCTGGCAGCTCCCACCAATAGAGAGAAACCACAGAGCAACCAGAGAGGAGGACAAGGTTTCCATGCAGAGATCCACACGGCAGGGGAAAGCAACGTCTTCTACTTTTCCTCTCCAGGTTAGTCTTTATCTAGCCCACTCAAGAGACCTCAATGGCTCCTCCATACATCTCCCTGCCCTCATCCATCCTTCTCCAGCCCTGGCATGACGTCAGCTCAACTAATGCATATGGCTCCACAGGCCGGTGTTGCAGCTACTGTAACAACCAAACACCGTGCCTGGTTATTTTTAAGGACAAAAAGTGTAGTGGGATTGAATTATCCTTTGTTGCAAGAAATACGTAAATGCAATGCTGGATTCAGCTGCCAGAATGAATTTAGTAGCAGGGACCAAACTGAGTCCCCACTGCAAGTGGGCATCAGCTGATCTTGGTAAAGGCAATGGAGATGCACCTGCTTGCAGTAGGGTTGAATATGACCTTAGAGTCTACTTCTTCTCATTACGTGCAGCAACAGAGTGTGATGGGACCACATCCCAGAAGCACATGTGACCTACACACAGCATTTCCTGAAGCAAAGTTGAAATTGCTCAGTAGTAATTCTTTAGTGAAGATTCTGTACATAACACGCATGAGTGAATGGCAATACTGTACTAATGGATGTAAATTTGTAATATTTGTAAAAAAAAAACAAACAAAAAGGCAAAAGAAAATAAATCTGAATTTACATATGTGAATTTGCTGCTAAGTTCTGTAAATTGCACTTCAGTGATACCTGATAAGTGAATGTTTCTGTTAAGTGAATAAAATGCAAAGTAAAATTGTTCTTTCACTGTTTGTTGACCATTTTTCACTGTGGCTCAGCAATCAATTTGAATGTGCCCCAAAATGCCAGTATGTATTTTTACACACACCTACCGTAGATCTAGAGACAACATGTTCTTATTGAGTTTGCATTTGATATACCATAGGAATCACACCCTTGCACTGAGAGATGGATGTGCCCGCTCATGTAGAAGACGCCATAGAAGGACAGAGTCTGATCCTGGAAGAAGAGTTACTCCACAGAGATCTTTCATAATAAAAATTAAATGAAAGTTTTACAGACTCACATTGCATGGGACTTGCTGTATAAAGCTGCCTAAGTGATACACAAAAGATCTCTGCAGATTTCTTCTTCATAGGTGTAGCCTTGGTTTATTCTTGTTTTAAACAATCAGTATTCAGCTACAGCAGACTAAAAGCACTAAGCCCAAATACCATCATCCCCACAAGGGTTTAACATGCATTATTGTATGAGCATCACACAGTGCCTTGAGATGATTTTCCTTGGCCAGGTCCTCATACAGATCACTGGTGTTACCAAAGCCTCCAAAGCCTCTCAGAAGCTCCCATGGTCGAAGTATAAATACACCAACAGTGGAAATTGTCTAGAAAGAAATTTTCCTTCCCCCCTCCTTGTGAAGATTTGGTTCCAAGGTGAAACTGAGCCTGGCAGCTCACAGGAACCCCCACCAGCTCACTAGTCCTACAGCTTGTTGCTTGTTCATGTTGAAGAAGTCAGTGCCAGACCCACACAGACCATCCTATGGTCCGTTTCATTTCCAAGCATAGCAAGGCAGGGGCTATGAATAGCTTTATTTTCAAGCTGAGACTTTGCTGCCATTGCATTTCCTTAGCTTGGATCTATGTCATTAGGTACTTGGGCAGGATAAAGAGAAGCAGGGGAGAAGAAAGCATTTGCAGGGTGATGTTGCCTGTTTGGAAAATATCACTGTTAGCTGACCCTATTCTGCCACCCAGGGTGGATCATTGCTTTGAGTAATAAAAGCAACAGATTTGTACATCTCAGTATTTGTATATCTCAAAATGTATTTGCATGCCTCAAAATGTATTTGCATATCTCAAAATGTATTTGCACACATGGATTTTACTGTTCAACTGGATATATGTGAAGCAAACCCCCTAGTCTCACCCTTACTACAGCCTTAGACACAGCAGCTACTTCTCTACCAGTAAAAATGGTCATGGAAGCGTAACACTGTCCTGAACAGAAATAAATTACACTGGTAGAAAAGCAGTTTGTGTCACTATCCACCCTCCAGGTGATGAGCCTATCATTATTTTGGTGTTAAAAAAGGTAAACACCCAACTTCTTAACTTGGTGTAGCATTGGCTTTCCTTGCAGAGGGCGTCTGGGAGGGCCATGCTGAGACCAGCCCCGGTGCAGACGCAGGGAACAAGCACAGCTTTGGCCATGCAGGGCAAAGGATGGAGGTGAGGAGGTCCCTGCAGGGGCTCCTCATCAGCCTGGCAGCCCCTGAGCCCACTCCTGCATAGTTTGTCCATGGCTGAGTTCACAGCAGGACGCTCACAGACTGTTTTCTCCTCCAAAATTAGCTGCTACTGCCTGACCACAGCAGACACTGTGACATGATTTTGCTACCTTAAACAGCTACAAAGAAGTCATTAGAGTAAGTTGTATGGATGGATTCTGTCTTTAATCTCATTGAGTGTAAAAGCTAAATACCAGAACTGCATTTAAAACTTTACAGGCATATACCCCATCATCGTCAGGCACAGTTCTTTCTTTTCCAACTGTATATTGGAAAAACAGCAACATAAACAAATAAGTCCTTCTGCTGCAGTTAAACCTTGATAGCCATGCTTGTGTGTTGAAGAATGCAATGGCAATTTAAGAGCTTTTTAAGCCTTTGAGTTATTACCGTTGTGCCTACTTCCCAACTCTGCGACCTGATTGTTTTGGCCATTTTCAGCTTGATCATATGGATTGTCGTGGTTTAAACCCAGCCAGTAACTCAGAACCACACAGCCGCTTACTCATTCCCCCCCTTCCTCCCCCAGCTCCTGGAGGGATGGGGAGGAGAATCAAAAGAACGTAGCTCCCACGGGCTGAGATAAGAACAGTCCAGTAACTAAGGTATGACACAAATCACTGCTGCTACCACCAATAATAATAAAGATAAGGGAAATAACAAGGGAAGAGAATACAACCGCTCACCACCCGCCGACATGAGCAGTGATCTAACCCTGCTGGGTAACTGCCCCCAGTTTATATACTGGGCATGACATGCTGTGGTATGGAATACCTCTTTGGTCAGTTTGGGTCAGGTGTCCTGTCTCTGCTTCCTCCCAGCTTCCCCTCCTCCCTGGCAGAGCATGAGGCTCACAAAGTCCTTGGTCAGAGTAAACATTACTGAGCAGTAACTAAAACCATCAGTGTTATGAGCACTGTTCCCAGGCCAAAAGTCAAAAACACAGCGCTGCACCAGCTACTAAGAAGGAGAAAAAGTGACTGCTACTGCTGAACCCAGAACATGGATACACCAGTTTAGCTGGAAATCTAGGTAAAGTCAAAGAAAATTGGAGGCTTTTTAAAGGATAGTGGCAGTCTGTTTGAATGCAAAAAATCCCCAACAAACCCAAAGCAACACAAAGATGTACAAGCACATGCACACATATAGACACGAGTGGTTTCTTAGGTATTCCAAGGCCTCCTGAATAAATCAAGCAGCCTTGGAGACATAGGATTAATAA